TCTCTCTCTCTCTCTCTCTCTCTCTCTCTCGACGCTCGCCGATCCGCCAGCTGCACTGGCTGTGTCCACCATATTTATATGTTGTGATGGAGACACGAGGTTTCATGTTCAGCGTGAGCAGCAGACTTGTTGAGCTTGACTGCAGAGGTGCTCAAGCTCAGCGTGCGGGCGCGAGAGAGAGCGAGAGTGAGGGATAGAGAGAGAGAGAAAGAAAGAGAGAGAGAGAGAGAGAGAGAGAGAGAGAGAGAGAGAGAGAGAGAGAGAGAGGCGAGGAGCGTGGAGCGGCGGTGCTCTTGCTGTCCGGGAGCAGTGTGGAGTGGCAGCGAAGGAAGTTCACGACTTATAAAGAGGAGGATATGGCTTCCGCTGGTAGGTTCCTCTTCCTCCTTCTTGAACTCCCCTCTTCATCAGTGGGTTTTTTTTTTTTTTTTTTTTTTTCTTCTTCTTCCATTCTTCTCCGGTTCTTATTCCTCCTCCTCCTCCTCCTTCTTCTTCTTCTTCCATTCTTATTCCTCTTCTTCTTATTATTCTTTTTTCTCTTCCCTTCTTGTTCCTCTTCTTCTTCTCCTCTTCTTATTCCTCTTCTTCTCTTTCCCTTCTTAGAGAGAAGGTTAACAACAGTCATATTTTTCATCACCACTTCAGGATGCAACCTGCCTAAACAAGTGGTTTTCAGGGTCTTCGAACCTTTCACCACTTCAGGACCATTCAGGTCTGAAAATCCTAAATGGTTCTGAAGTGGTGAAAACTCCGAAGACCCTGAAAACCACCTGTTTAGGTCGGCTGCATCCTCAAGTGGTGAAGGGTGGTTTTCATGGTCTATGGACCTTTCACCACTTCAGGACCATTCAGGATTTTCAGAATGCCCAAAACTCTCACTTGACCACTTCAGAATACCCTTCACCACTTCAGGATGCAGTCTGCCTAAGCATGTGGTTTTCAGGGTCTTCGGACCTTTTACCACTTCAGGAGCATTCATGATTTCCAGACTGCCAAAAACTCTCACTTCAAAATTTTCATTCCTAAATTTTCAGCTACCCGATAACCGCTTGTGGTTACAATCGAGACCGCCGAAAATTACAGTTACACGCAGGATTAAGGGCGCGACACAGTCAGAGCCCTGTCCCCACCGTGGTGAGAGGTGCGCAAGCAAGAAGCGCGGTGCAACAAAAATTTCTAAGGTACCAAAATTCCTATCTAGATCCTAATTTACAAAAAGAAATTTCGAAAGGAAAACAATTCTGAGAGTCTGGAGGGGCTCGACATCGGTTCACAAATTTGAAAACGACATTCCCGCGTGACGATCACGCCAAGAATTCTCAGTTCCCACAACGGAACAAGAAAGAAACTATGGCAAATACTATGCTCCCGCGCCCACTCATTGTCTGCGCGGGACTTTCCCGACCCTGGTCGAAAGTCTAAAAAAATAAAGAAAGAAGCTAGGGCATCCATGCAACTTGCCCGGACGACCCATCCTCTTATCCTTATGTTCCTCATCCGCTTCCCCGTCTGAACCCATGAAGCAGCTTCGCGAAGAAAGTCGCGTGGTTACCGAAGACAGTTTGTCACATATGTGACGCGCAGGGGGTTCCAATCTTGAGCAAGTTCCTGCTTGCTCACTCATCACTTGCCGATCCATAAAGGACACGGTAAATCGATGAGGAGCTTGCACGTGCCACTTACTGTGAGATAAGAGTGTGGATGTCATCCATCGTGGCATACGTGAGCTCTGAACTTAGAGGTTACCAGGGAAGGATAGTCTAATAAGCGGGTGGGGGAGGTGGTGGATGGATGTGGGGAAGGGGTGGTAGGAAGCGACTCCGCTCCCGATCTCTAGTGGGGAGTCGGGTGTAATGGATGGTGCGATGTACGTGAGGGTAACGTTGATCCTGGTGAGGGAGGGAGACAAGGTAATCAGGATAGATAGTGCACAGGGTGCGAGGGATCGCGGCACGAAGATCCGCATACCCTTCGCACGAGGGGATTACGCCCGAGATTGTACAATATATTTCTATATTGTTGTAATCTCGCCATGCCGCGCTGAAGAGGAGGACGTGGATGGGAAAGTTGGTTACGATGGATTGAGTGGAGGCGTGCGGGAAGATTGTGACACCAAGACGGGTAGAGTAGAGTTGGTGGAAGAGGGAATGGGGAAAAGGATGCCAGCTGGAGGGAAACGGGGGCCGTCCTGCGATTTGGTGGATGGCGAGGTAATCAAGGGGACGACGGGATAACGACCGGGGACGAAGCCCGAGTGCCCGCATCTCCACGTAGGTGAGCGGTGGGCCTCTCAGGTGGAGGGGATTGAGCTGGTGTTGGACTTCTTTTGCGGCGTCTGCTTCTAGATCCCTCCACGGTGGCGATGTCGAGCGCATCGGTCTGGCACCTCGCAGGGCAGCGCGGGACCCTCCCGGCCGCGTCACGCAGGAGTTGGTTTGAATCCTTCGTTGCGAATATACATGGAGCTTCTGCAAGCCGCTCCGGCCGAGTGCGCCAGCCATACCTCCTGCGAGCCCCTACGACAGGATAGGGCCTACGCGAGGCACGACTTACCTCCACCTTACGGGAGCTGTCACCTCCCTTCGGTGGGCGTATCCCCGCCGAGCTGCCAGTCCACAGTACGAAAGCTGATCAGCTGTAATCGCAGAGGTGGACCAGCCGAGGGCGTTTCTCGTTCGTTGTAGCATATGGGGTACACGCGGTAATATGCCTCTATCGGACCCGCACGCGAACGGACATCTTGGGGGGCTGAGGTCCCAAGCGAGACTCGTCGTCGGTCAACTAGGACTCATCCCACACTACACCACTCTAACAAACACAAAAATAAAACACACACACACACACATATATCGAACAACGCGACAACACTCCTAGTCCCTTCAGTAGCCATCCCATAACTTTCCGATGCGGAAATCGGATAGGCACCACGCGCGAGACTTAGTATAAAACCGCGTGGACGCAGGGCTAACGCATATCGACTCGCAATGCAAGCGTACGCAGGCAGCCGCAATGATTGCGTACTATGTAGTGTCCATAATCATGCGGTCCTCGTTAACCTCGAGGGTCGCGTTCGGCACTCAAGTGTCCGCTGACACGCGCTTAGAGGGTTAATCTCTTGACGCTGGACAACCACCATGCGCGGTTGAAGACTACACACCCTCTTCTGCACCCTGTGCAGAGTGGGTGGTACACATGTTCATACCTGTGGTGGCAGTCATTTCTTACTGCCCTGAAGATGAACCCTACTCCGGGCCTGGACAGAAGTCAAGGGGTTTGACTTTGACGGCTGTCACGGACTACGACCTTCAACCATAGAAATCTAAAAAGCAAAGGATAACAGAGGGTCTTCCTTTTCTCCCAAGCCATAATCTGGTTAACCCTTGCGCACGATCAAAGCAAGTCGCGCGCATACCCAAGGCAAATATAAATATATACATAAGGTTTATTTATATAGGACGATCACTTTTCACAGTCACAGTGGGACTCCATTCAGCCATATATATATGCGATCACAGGCAACCACATCCAGAGTCCGAACCACAAACATACCTGCAATCACATCAAAGATCCAACAAAAGTCAACGTACTACACGGGGTCAACGTCAACCATTCTCTATGCTCATACCCCTCGCTTTAGCCATACAAACCTCACTCTTGTGCAACTCCCCAAAATAAATACTCAGTACTTTAGTTAAATGGTCATTCAATAAAGTCCGGGTAAAAACATAATGAAACAGTTCAAACCACAGGGCTAAAGCCTTTAGGTTGAGTGGCAAGAGTGGGTTGGAGTTGAATCGCAGACCGACGAGTCGACAACCGACCTGTTATCAGTGATTACAGAAGATGATCCTTGTAGGATCAAGCTGAATCTAACCCAAATCCTGAATCAATACGATCAAGAGGACTTGTAACACAAGACAGGCCAATCCCCAAGCTAGATCTATAAGTCAATGGAGAATCCTACTTAAGAATCATTCTACCTAACTAAGCCTAAGTCTACCCCTAAACAAGTGCCCAAAGCAAAGGTAGACTAATGGCAGAATCTCCCCAATTCAGGGTGGATCGCCAGAATCGCCACCTGTCAAAATATAATCTATCTCCTTTAAACTAAGAAAATTTTGGCAGCGTTTCCCGTAGGAAAAGTGCATTTTCAGAATTTATATTAGCCTGAATATGAAAACAGAAATAACTTCTAACTTTCCAAAGTACAATTTTGTCTAACTCCCTGAATTAGCAAAAATTTGGGCAGCACTGCCTTTAGAAAAGAAGACTTTCCAGATTTTTACTAAGCCTCATATGAACTTTAGACAAGTTGAACTTTGAAAAGTCAAAATTCGACTAACCCCTTGGATTTGCAGAAATTTTGGCAGCGCTTCCCGTAGAGAAAGTAGCTTACCAAAATTTATACAAAGCCAAGTATAACAAAATATCCCAGAAAATGCGAGAATTTATCTAAGTAAAAAAACTTAGCTCAGAAAATGCAGGAATTGAAACTAACTCCTATGGCTCTAGCACGTGGCGAGCGACTAAAGCAACTACCTCTCAAACTGAAACTTAGAGCAAGTAACCATCTCACTTAACCACATGCAAGGCCAAACCACGAAGGTAAGTACTCTCACCAACCCCAAGTTAAATCCGGGCAAACCATAGTTCATGTCTTCTCAGTAAATTACTCAGTTGTACCCAACTTACATAAGGCGTAGAGTAAGGTCATCTAATCTTATGGAACATGCTTGACTCAGTAATTAAGTATACACGAACAGGTTGCACAACCACTTCTCCCTTCCTTTGGGCACATGACTAAGCCATTCATCTTAGAAACAATGCTTCGTCGCCCTGAATAGCTTAATACCCAAGTTATATATACCTCTTTGAACTTAGTGTTCAAAAGTTGAGCGTAGGACTGAGACATTCATCTTAGAAACAAAACTCAGCCTGCCCAAAGTCACCTTCGATTATATTCTTAGTTATACTGTCTTCACATTTATGATAAACTATAGTCAGACCACCCAATCTTATGGAACCCTGTCTGACCAGTCTGTTCTTAAGTAGAATAATAATAAAACATAGCCAAATTATAGCCTTTTGGGTTCCAGCATTTGCGAGCCATTGGGCCTGACCATCCAATCTTATGGAACATATCCAGTCCTCTGCCAAGTTCCTTTCTCTCTGATCCATCTGTGTGCAGCATGAGTCCAAAACCATATAATCTTATGGAACACGCTTTGTCCTCTGTAGAAATTACTCTCTCAGAATAAAACAAACAAAAGAGTTGAGCCATTCGTCTTAGAAACAAAGCTCAACCCTCTTCTCTCATCACCAAAAAAACAGAGTACTCTGAGTTAAACCCAGAGACTGTTCAGAAACCACCCAAAAATTAACAGCGACCAGACCATCCAATCTTATGGAACAATGTCTGGTCCTCAAGTTTGCACAACCAAGCCCCCCAAAGAAAACAGCCTGGTCATTCATCTTAGAAACAAAGCCTGGCGAAATTAAATAAACACAACGGCCAAGCCATTCATCTTAGAAACAAAGCTTGGCCTTTTTAGAAAAACAAAACAAACACAGCAGTCAGGCCATCCAAACTTATGGAACCATGCCTGACTCTATAAGACCCTTCTTATCACAAACAAAACCACCTTTCTCCCAACCTTCCCCGAGATGCAATTCCCCTTTGTTAACAATCTGCTTTCAAGCAGTCAAAAACTGAAACTGCCATTACATACGCATTCCTTTACTTAGTCTGAGTTATATCCTGAAAGTCGAACTAAAGTCAAAGTAGGGGTGAATACAGTGTGCTCAGCCACACATAGAAAAATGTACAGATAGGGGTTATAATCTGGGTTTATAGAGGGAGGTGCAAGGGTTACCTTTCAATTCTCTGCCTCCATAACTCCTCATGAGTTCCGGCAGAGCTCCGCAATCGGTGGGGCGAACCTCCCCTAGAGGCCTTGGAGCGGATTACGGGTTGCAATCCCGCCTGCCGCCTTTCTCTCAGAACCAGCAGACTAGACTTAGAATAAGAAGGGTAGAGGTAAAGGGTATTAGACTCTCAGATCCAAGGAGGGTGCTCTCAGACTCGCAGGAGAGGGTCTTGGTTCCTTGATACGCCTAAGGGCCCCACAATGGCAGCCACGTAACGCCCGCTTGGTCAACCCAAAGTCAACCCGTTGCAACCAACTCCCCTGACAATCTCTTATTTCGCAACACTAGCCCCCTACTTTGTCCAGCCTGACCACCTCTCAAAGTTTCGCTCGACCACGGCCACACAGCAACATGTACCAGTCCTCAGACGCAACAGCAGTATTTTTAGTAACGATCAATAGCGATCAGTAATTGTCGCTAGTCGTTGCAACCCACACACGGTTCACAGAAACACCTCACACTCAACAACAACAGTCGCAGTCGCCCACGCAGTAGCCCCTCAGCCGCAGTCTGGGCACAATATGCAGCAGCTTGTAATCTGTGCCCAGCCAACAGTAGTAACAGTTATGCATGGCAGCGGTCAACAGCCATGACAACAGCCTTCAGTGGCCAGAGTAACACTAGCAGCCCCCAGCAGTTAGCACCCACCTGCGCACAACCTTTGGTCGCCATTCCCCTGCTGCATACGATCTGCTGGTACGCTGCAAGCCCACTGTGGACTCCGCAACTTCGCAGCCACAGCCAGAACTTGGCGAGATGAGCATCCCCCCGTTTGCCCGCCTTGTACACTCAATCCGGGCCCCAGACCCTTAGTACATCTGGCCATTAGCGGGGCCAGGTCCGCCTGATGCCATTTGGAGAGACAAACAGTAGACTGAACCAGGCGAATAACAGCCAGGCGAGAGTGGCGTGGCAAGTAAGTTTGTATCCCTTCGGCCGTCCTCCTACCTACAGCGTAGCCCGACTCTTTCTACGCCCTTCCGCAACCCACTTATACTAGCACCAAGTTTCCCTAATATGGGAACGAACCTCCTCCAAGAACGGGCCCAAGTACGTACCCGTTCCCCCCTCCTCCTCGAATCCCTCACTCTCCCTCTGTATGCACGAGCTTCAACCGACAACGAAGCAATACATTAGTCCACGAGCAAAGTCCCCGATCCCACGGATGCCCTATCGTTACGTGTTCCAACGGAACATGACAACTCGAATGGATCTGCCTACGTATGCGGTTAGATTCACTCCCCCCCCTCTCCTTTCTGACTAGTAACTCAATCTGTACTAACTTCCTTTCCATCGTCTTTCTTACCAAACTGTCTTCAAAATCAGGTTCGTCCAGTC